ACCTTCTCGACTATCGTGTTCCGCTGACGACATTACTAAATGAAGACGGGACTCGCACATCTTCCCAACAACAGATGGAAGCGATCATGGAGAGTTTCTACACCAATCTCTTCCGCTCGTCAACACCCGTGTCAAACCCCTTATTCTCACTGAAGAAATACCATCACGGATTCTACTTGCTAACCATGAAGGCAGCCACGGCTCCGGGATCGGACCATGTTTCGGCAGACCTCTTACGAGGTGGAGGACATCGCTTACACGAGGTACCTGCAGAACATCTAACGTCTTACTTTCAGAAAAGGATCCGCCACCAGTGGAGAACTTTCCGAACAATCTTTCTTTATAAGAAGTGCGATAGGGAAGATCTTCGGAACTACCGTCCAATATGGCTGCTGAGCGTGTTTTACAAACTTTTTACGAAAATTATTCTTGCTCGCATATCAAGGACACTGGATGAAGTCCAACCTGTAGAACAAGTTGGATTTCGCAAGAGATTCAGCTGCGTGGATCATCAGACAGTTACGAAGATTATCGAGGTTTGCTGAGAGTACCTAACCTTCGTTGACTACGAGAAAGCGTGACGGTGTCGAGACTAATGCCATACTGTTAGCGCTCGTCGACCAAGGGATGGACCCATCTTACGTGAGAATATTGGCCGACTGCAACAAGAACTGCTCTACAACGCTACAGCTTTTCCATAGTCCCCTTTACATACCAATTTCGAAGGGGTTTGCTAGAGTGATACCGTCTCGCCAAAGCTGTTTACCGCCGCGTCGCAGTGGGTGATGAAACCACTGGATTAGAACAAGAGAGGTATACGAGTTGATGGGAGATTTTCCTCGAACCTTCGTATTGCGTACAACATTGTTCTCTTTTCGAGGAATATCACTGAAGCGGAGACAATGTTGAAGGAACTAAACGAAATAGGGAAGCGGTAGGACTGCGAATCAACCGGAAGAAGACTCATTTCATGAAGAACGCTATCAGGAAGTGGAATTAGAAAGTTTTCTAAGCGCGGAGACGTCTTTTTACGTATATCTCGGGCGCTCGATGAACATGAAGGATGATCTAAAAGAAGAACTAAACAGGAGGCGAAGACCAGCTTGGGCCGCCTTCGGGCCTCTAAAGACAAATTGACGGACCCAGAGCTCCGAGCCCACCTGTTTGATTCAACCGTTCTTCGTGCGCTCTATTACGCAGCTGGAACGGCCTGACTTCGAACAACACATAGAGCGCTGGAACGGCGTCTTCTGAAGTATAACTGACGCACTCAACATCTCGTCGGACTTCGCAGTTCAGAAATGAGATCAATGTCTCGTCTTCGCGACCCAGTGGATTACGTCTCTAACGCAAAACATCGATGGACTGGTCATATAATGAGAAGAACAGAAGACAGATGGACACTGAGAACTCTGAAATGGATCCCTCGAAAAGCAAAACGTTCGAGGGAGATTAACGACCAGGTGGGCTGACGTATTTGTTACACGGATGGACAAGCTGAATTCTCAGCTGGTAACGAATAATGGATCTGCCTCGCGAACGTCGCCGCCGCAGTTCAATATCAAAATCGATGACGCTAGCGAGAGACAGAACGGATGGAAACAGTGCTGTGGTCTGCACGACAAGTGAAGACAGGCCATCTAAGTACCTAACCAAGTAAGTAAGTGTGTAAGTAGTGCAATTTTTTTGAAGGCGCTAACTCTTGGCAGTTTACTCATTACTGCGGCGGCTTGCTTTGTGTAGCGGTCAAAACTGGCAACACAAACTTAAGGCGTCATTAGTTCTCTTCAGTGTTTCCGTTTTCTGGTAGGCAAATCAGAAAGCCACAGAGAGATGGGAGATCACCCTCGCGCATAATCTATACTATTTGGTTGTCCAGTAGCTTTGTTCCTTTTTTCAGACTCAATGAAGTCCAAAGAAATCAGAAGTCCAACACACTGTGTCAAAAACCAAATTATCGCTCTGTAAAACAGTGCACTAGTTTACCGAAAGATTGCATTTTAGTCTAGAGTGATTGATAATGTATACCCAGAAGACCAGAAGAAGACCATTCGACAGCTTGATCTTCCTGGATTGAAAGAAATGCAAA